GGGGCATGCAGGTGACTTCTTGAGCTTATTTCCTAACTCCCCTTGGAGTTTTGATGGTGTCACTCTTGAAGACCATTCTTTTCTCTGCAGAGAATTAGCCCTGGTCAGAATAGGGAAGAATAGGGAAGTACGCATGCTAAGTTCAGAGAAGCTAAAGAGCAAACCGAGTGGGAGTTCCCCTGAGCCACCTTCTCGGAAGCCGCCAAAAACCCAGCAAACTTTAGGTTCCACCTTTAGCAAAACGGGAAGTTGACGTCAGTGGTCTCTGCCAGAGGTCACATATCTAGTCCTGGTTCTGCTCTCTCATTCTCCATCAAAACCTATCCCTGGGCAGTCATTGCTCTCAGAACAGAACAGAGCCCTGGCTGTTTGAATCTTTCAAGCTAAACCCGAGACAGGCAACAGGCCCCACTGAGGCTCTGGGTTTAGGCCCTAGGGCAGGCCCTATTGAGTCCTGCCTAAATGTCAGGGTTATGGTAAAAATACATGATTATTGTTTAAGCCACAGAGATTTGAGGGAGTGGTTTGTCACAAAGCGGTAGGTAACTGGAACATGTGTATGTAAGCATGGCAACTTAGGCTAGCATAATGCAAACCCATGAGTTCACATATATGTAAGTGATAATGATTACAATGAAGTCCAAAGCACTTTACAGGTGGAAGAAGTTAATTCATTATCAGGATGTTGCTATTCCCATGAAAGTAATTTTCAGTCCTAGTCAGAACTTCATGCTTATTTAATAGAAACTTCTGGATAAAACAAGCATGGAGAAAACCTTGGACAGGCTGTATGTTGGGTATGTGTGTGTGTGTGTGTGTGTGTGTGTGTGTGGTGGGGATTAAACCCAGGGCATGTTGCCTACCTTGCCTACCACTGAGTTAAATTCCCACCTTCTAGGCCATAGGTTCTTTTTTTTTTTTTTTTTTTTAAGAGAGAGAGAGAGAGAGAGAATTTTTTTTAATGTTTATTTTTTAGTATTTAGCGGGCACAACATCTTTGTTTGTATGTGGTGCTGAGGATCGAACCCAGGCCACACACATGCCAGGCGAGTGCACTACCGCTTGAGCCACATCCCCAGCCCAGCCATAAGTTCTTGTTAAGAATGGAAAGATTTGGTAAATCATCTTCCATCCTTACCCTGTCTCTAGCTGGCCTGCTCACCTCAGCTCATATTAGATTAGGGTCACACATGTGCATTTCCTAGAACCTCAGTGTTGCTATGGGACCTCAAATTGGCCTTGGTATGGAATTCCAGGGAATGTTTCTGCATTTAAAGCTATTGCAGTGTCCTTTTCTAATTATTCTTGTTGGCAGTTCCTTTGATTGCMTTATTTTCTCCTAAACTGAAAGTTCTTTGTCCCTGGTACACAGTAGCACCTTACTGTATACTTAATGGAGTAATGGAATACCTGTATGTTTTCTGGATCTCATAAACTGACTTACTCAGAGTGCACTTGTGGGGGGACTCATTTTCATACAAAATTCTACATTGTAATGTGAGCAGCTCAGGGGATGAAGACCCATAAGCAGACCCCTAAGATCCTGTGTACTAGGTCCCTGTGAATACAGACTCAGATTGCAGTGGCATTGAGAATGGACACCCCTGGTCTTCACACCTGCTTCTTGGTCAGCTTCTTACCTCTGATCCACATGTCCCTCTACCCTGTTCTGCTCCAGTCCTTTTGCACTTTATGTGAAAGGATTCTTTCTTTCTTTCTTCCACCTATTCATGAAAAGTGATTATTTGGAAACTCCCCCAAATAAAGTAAAATGGGCCACAATATTTAAGAATTTTAAAGTGACTCCTTTAAAGATCAGAAATATAAAGTCCTAACTGTAATTGAATAGTTGTGATGTAAGGGCATTTCATTTGTTCAACAAAGATAAACTACTTGCCTTCCACGGGTCCAGCCTTGGACACTGAGTGAAAGAGAAAGGAGATAGACCTTGGCCTCCGAATGCTAGATTGCAACTCTCAAGCTACATGCTTCTATTATTTTTTCAGAAATTCTCAGCACCATGGGAATGTCCTCCTGTGCTTTGGTGATTCCTATGATACTCAAAGATGTTTTGAGTTGAGAAAGCAGCCTTCCCTTGGCTTCATGCTCCTGTGGGCTAATAGGCATAGACCAGGAGGAATTTTCCAGGGGAAATYTTGGAGAAGTAACTTGGCTACCTAACTGCGTGTTCCTTTGTTCTATATGGATCCCATATCAGCCTGGGTTTTCCAAGAAGCAAATGCCATGAGCAGGTCGGATAGATGTATAAGAGGTTTCTTTGTTGAGGAAAATGCTTGTGAGGGAAAATAGGGAAAGGGCAAAAGAAACCGGTGAGCTGTCTGATAGCGACACAGGACTGACCATTATGAAGAAAAGAGAGAAGGAAGGAAGAGTAGGAAGAGTCCTAGACTGAGGTGCAGTATCACAGAGTTTCTGCAAGCTGGTTGAGAGTCCTTGAATCAAAGTTACCTGTCAAAGGAATGTGTCTCAGTATTCCTGCCTAGCTGTTGTTGGCTGGGAACAGCCTGTGAGCCATGTGGCTTCAGTGCAAAGTCAGTGGTAGATTCAAAGCTCAGTGGCTGGGCCCTTAGTCAATTACTCTCCTGTAGGAGGTCTGAGAGGTGCATTTTCATGACTTCCAAAAGTCCCCATTAACTAGCACCCAAAGTAGCCCCTCTTTCTTCCTCCTTAGCTCTGTGGTGATAGTTCAGGAATATAAGTTATATCTGAAAAAATCTCCCCTCTTTTCAGCTGTTCATAGGCACTACTGCAAAGAATAAAACCACTCCATGTATGGCTGGTGGAGGGAAGAGAATTCAGTTTTTCCGAGGACCATGAATTTTCTCTAACCACTGACTATTTGGCTTGCAGCTGTCAGTCAGGAATGGTTCCCCACCTCCCCCAAGTATTTGGTTGCTGCCTTAATTTCTATGCTCTTGGGTGAGGAGGCTTGAAATCCACCCTAAAGTCCCCAGTGCTCCTTTTAGCCACAAATTTCACCATCTCTGCCAAGCTTTTCTCAGAMCTGCTGCCAAAGCTAAATAAAATGACAGATTTGCTTTTCACTTCAAACTGTGCACTTACGAAGTTATGCACTTACTTGGAAAAAAAGATGACTGGGAAGCCAAATTTCTTGCTAGTCCATACAAAAACAATGGGGAGCTAGCATTGATTAAGTGCCTATACTTTACCAGTCATGGTGATAGGTGTATTACATCGATCATCTCTTTTAATTTCACTTCAACCCTCTGTGATCAGTATGGATTGATTCCTTTTACCAATTAATCCTTGGAGCAGGACACATGGTTTGGACAGGGAGAGGGATTTAGCCAGGACCAAGTTCAGTTTCTCAGACTCTAAAGCCAGTATTCTTTCCACTCCCACAATCTCTGACCCATACGTTGGATAATTTACCTGACTTAAAAATATGAATTAAGTAAGGCTTAAAGCTAGACTTTGTTTTCTATTTATCAGAAATTCTAAGATAAATGGGGGGTGAAAACCAAAAAAACATCTTCTTCTTCCCTCCCCATGGCAGACCAAAGTCTCAAGGGCAGTACTGCTCTAGTGACGTTCAGAGGCCCTGTGCCCTGGCAGCCAGGCTGTTCTTCATGTCCATTCCAAGTTCAATCTGGTTTACCTCCTGAGCTGTATTTGAGACTTTTTTGGAGGTGAAATTCACTAACATAAAATGACCATTTTAAATTCAGTGGCATTTGGAGTCACACAAAATGAAACTCTACTCCCATAAGCAGTTGTTCTCACACCCCATCAATCTCTGGCTATCATCTGTTTGTTCTCTGATAGCAACACTGTCAGATTTACCTGATAAATCCATTATATACGGATTTACTTATTTTTCCTATTTCATACACATAGAATCATATAATAGGTGACTTTCTGCTTATCTTCTTTCACTTAGCATAATGTTTTTGAGGTTCACCCATATTGCTGTTATGTACCATACTTTGCTTTTTATGACTGAATAATGAATAACTTATTTATACATTTATTTGTTGATGAACATTTGTTATATTTCCAACTTTTGGTTATTATGAGTCACACTGCATGCTCATTGATGTATAAGTATTTGAATACCTGTTCTCAATTCTTTTGGGTATATACTATAGGGGGAGACAGAGAGATTCCTCTACTTTCTCCTTCATTTCTATGTGCTCTCYTTGACTGGTCTAGGAATCCAGTTACTACAAGAGCTGATCCACAAGAGAATAGCATAAAAGTTTTAATTAGGTTACATACACTTGGGGATCTTCATAAGAGAACCAAGTCTGAAGAAATGGTCCAAGTGCCTTGTATTTCTTCTTTTACACAAAGAAAAATAAATTTGTGAAGGAATGACAGSACAAATGAGTATGTAGACTAGGACATTAAGTTGTAGGGATGTTACTAAGAGGTATTTAGGGGTGGGGTGGGGATATAGTGGAAAATACTTGAAAGAGTTTGTTTATTCAGGTTCACTGCAACCTCAATTACCAGCCTCTGGTGGTCAAACCTRTTTTCTGGCCTTGGTATGGAAAGGACATCCTGTCTGAACGAATCTTTATGGCTTGTTGCATATAGCGAAAGAAGCCAAATGGCCTTTTCTGAAGTTTTAGTTCCTCAAGGGATTTCAGCCTGAAATAACAGGCCAATTTGGCATAKTTTGAGATGACACATCTTCCACTCCTTCAATACCTATGAATGGAATTTCTGGCTGTTTTGGTAATCCTAAAATTAACTTTTTGAGGGACTGCCAAACCTTTTCACAGGATATGTACTCAATCTCCACTCCGGAGAGCAATGTATGAGGATCCTAATATCTCCACATCCTCACCCTTGAGACTTTTAAAACYGAATTCACAGGATGAGGAAGTGGCCTCTCTGAAATGTTTTCCTCTTTCACATTTGAACTTTCTCTTTCACATGCAGCCTACACTCGAAAGTGACTAGGAGGAAGGATACTATACCATGATGCAAACAGAAATTCCACCAGCCTCCAGATAACATGTGTCACGCCTCTGCCAAGCTCTGTAAGCATTTGCTTCGACTGGCCTCCACGGCCTCCAGAGGAACCTGCTCCGGGCTGCTCTGCACCAGTGGAAGATGAATGACTGTGAGTTCAGGTTCATCCACACGCTGGCTCAGGACTACCTGCAGCACGTCCTGCAGGTACCGCAACGTGGGTCAAGTCCCAGCAAAACGTCCAAAGTGTTACAAAACGTGGCTTTCTCAGTCCAAAAAGAAGTTGAAAAGAATCTGAAACCATACTTGGACAATTTTGATGTGGTGTCTGCTGATATTGCCAGAACAATATTCAATCAAGTGATGGAAAAGGAATTTGAAGATGGCATCATGAACTGGGGAAGGATTGTGACCATATTTGCCTTCGGAGGAGTTCTGGTCAAGAAACTTCTGCGAGAGCGGATTGCCCCTGCTGTGGATTCCGACGAGGAGATCTCTTACTTTGTGGCTGAGTTCATTATGAATAATGCAGGAGAATGGATAAGGCAAAATGGAGGCTGGGTATGTGTGATGGAAATTTTTTTCATTGTTTGTACTATGAAATAGGAATTCAGAGTTTCCTTGCTAATGGAAGCCACCATCACAAAACACCTACTTAAGAATTTAATTTTCTTTGGATAGTTTGTTTTAGAAATTTTTAATTTAAAAAACCTAACATCTTTCTGGCTCATTTCCAATGAATACTAGAACTTTTTAGCTGGAAAACCCTTATAGTTTTTATTTCTGACAGTATGAATTACAGTAATGAGGTCTGGGGACCTATAAAGCAGCTTTCTAATGCATCTTCAGAATCAACAGCACAGGCAATCTAGAACTTACTTTTTGCTAGGGCTGTCATAACAATGTAGAATTAGTACAGAAACACTTGGTATTAGATGTTGTCATATGTAGGTATTTATTATGTTGAAAAAGATAAGTGTATATTTTTGCAAGTTCATTACTTACAAATTAATTTTTGTCAGTTTTCTAATATAAAAATTCCGGACTGTGGTTAAAGAGAACCATTACTTAATATTTTTAAAATAAAAATTCACATTATTATCAGTACCTCAAAAAGCTAAGACTGTGTAGGGACCTATGAGAGAATTCATGTTGGTAAGAACACTTTTTAAAATTTTTATTTTGGTATTTTTTATTTTTTTAGTGGATCCCTTTCAAATACAGGAGATTGAAATGGTATGTTTAAGACATGAGTTTCTGGTAGAGAAGATAAATGAGCTTCTTAAAAACTCCCTTCCCATTATATAAAATTTAAAGTATGCCTCGACAAAGTTATATGTAGAAATGAAACTCTCTCCTTGTCCAAGTGGTTGACTGGGAAATACATCCTCTCTGGCAGGAAAGAGCAGAGAATTTCTGGTTGCAGAAAAGAAGCCTTTTACAGCTGGATGTATATGCTTCCTTTTATGTCCCAATAGACTACATTCTTAGTTTTTAAAAGCACCTATCCTTCAAGGCCCAATCCTAACTCTCATCTATCCTAAGTGATAACTACTCTTGTCTATTATTTCACATGCAAAACATGCTATATCTATAGGAAATACCTAGCATTTTTATTCTAGAGGTAGGGTTTTATTATTTTGCCCAGATTGACCTCGAACTCCTGACCTCAAGCAATTCTCTGCCTTGACCTCCCAAGTAGCTGGAACCACAGGCATGGCCCAGCATGCCTGGCTAACAGATTGCTGTTGTTTGGTGGTGAGAATCAAACCCAGAGCTTTCCACAGGCTAATAACACACCCTACCACTGAGCAATACCCTCAGCCTCATAGTATTTCTTTGTTAAAAAATTTATATATGTGTATGTGTGTGTGTGTTAAAATTCTACATGGTACTTAATTTTCAACTTATTTTTTTTTCAACCAAGACTATTTATAATAGGATTTATTTTTTTTTATTTATAATGGAGATTGAACCCAGAGGCACTTTACCACTRAGCTACATTCTCAGTTCTCTTTAGTTTTATTTTGAGACAGATCTTGCTAAATTGCTGACAATGRCCTTGAAATTGCTAACCTCTTGCCTCCTGTTGTTTATGGGCCTGTGCCATTCTGTTCTGCTAAAATAGTATTCTTAAAAGTATGTCATATATTCTGTTGTATGTAAATGCTGTCGAATAGTTGGCCATGTCTAGTTGGTGAAAATTTAGGTTATTTCCAGAGTTGTCTACCATGAACAATGCTTCACTGAATAATCTTTATGTGTACCTTCCCTCCTGCATGTGTGGGTTTTCTACGGTGGATGTTGCTTTTCTGGGCTGTGGTACATGTCTATTGTTTAATCTACTGGATCCTTGCCCTCCAAAGTGGTTCTGGGAAGTTACACTCCCATCAGGAGCTTGTTAGAGTATCCAACATTTCCCTACATACCAGAAGACTAACATTACATTGTAGCAATTTGTCATAATTTTCCCAATTTGTTGGGTTAAAATATATATTTAAACATATCTTGTTTTAATTCTTGTTTTTTTTTAAAATAAGGGTAAATATCTTTTCATTTTGAGCATCTTTTCGGATGTTTACTAACAATTTCTAATTCTTCTTTAGGGATTTATCTGTTTATAGCCTTTGCCCATTTTCATTTTGTCTTTTTCTTACTGATCTATAGGAATTCTTTGAATATTCTGGATATTTTWAATTTATTTTTATATATGACAGATATCTTCTAGTTTGTTGAGTATCTTTTAAAATGAACTATTCATGTCTTTAGTCATTATAAATATTTAAACATTTGATTCAGGTTAGGCACGGTGGCACATACCTGTAATCCCAGAGACTCAGGAGCCTGGGGCAGGAGGATCACAAGTTCAAGGRCAACCTCAACAACTAAGTGAGGCTTTAATCAACTTATCAAGACCATGTCCAAAATACAAAATAGAAAGGGCTTGGGATGTTTCTCAGTGGTAAAGAGCTTCTGGGTTCTATTCCCCAGTATAAAAAAAAAGTTTGATGTAATCAGATTGATAAATCTTTTACTTGATACCATTTCCATTTTGTTTAAGGTCTTCTTGCCTAAGGATGGTGTTACTGCAACCAGTCTTCTTTTTAAATCATCTTCTTTTTCCTGGAATTCTTCTTTCTAACTCAGCCTGACTTAAGGCTGGGTGAAGCATGTGAGATGCTTAGCCATGGTTTCTTCTAGCTGGCTGTGGGAAGCTRTACTGAAAGGCTGAGCAAAATTTCAGCATACTATATAGCTTTCAAGTGATGGCAACTATTCTCTAGCACAGAGGCCCACATATGAGCCTGCAAGCTCTCTATAGGCTTGGACTATGTTCCTAGTGCTTGACATGCTACTTGGGAACACACAGACARTGAATGCATGTTACTTAAAAATTTAACTTTTTCACAAAGATTTTTATGAGTTCCTGGAACTCATAGTGAATGGAGGATGTTAAAAATGGTTCCTTAGAATGTCTAGAAATGTACTCTTATTTTGGGGGTGGTACTGGGGTTAGCAAACATGTGGCAGAAGAAAGCTCCCCCAACTGGAGATATAAATATATATAACTGCTTGCACACCTACTCACCCTTTGTAACATTCTGTGCAGGCTCCCAGCTCTTCACTTTTACACCTGAATAGCTTAGGTGTTATATGTGGCAGATAAACTTGCTAAGAGATCTTTTCAAAGCATCTTGATATTTTGTTCCTAGCTCTCAGGAGACATTGATTCTCTTAATGACAGATAGAGCTCTTTTGAGTCAGTCGTACAGACATGGCAAACTGATATTATTTTCATAGCGTTGTTGACAAATATGATTAAATGAATGAATTTACTCTTGAATGATTCATTTCATGGGAAATGTACAATCACATGCTTACCACTAGTTAAGTCAGGTGGCCCATAAAAAGAGGGAAAAGGCAATTCACAATTTTATCAAGCGAGCACTGACTTCTCCCTTTTTTCCCTTCTGAGAAAAACTAAAAAAACTCCTACTGATCATAAAACACAAAATGTATGAACTAATTRCATTTAAAACATGTCCAGAGACTTTATGAAAATTCTTGGATCAAAAATGTGGTGTGGGGCTGGGTGTGGTGCTGCATGCCTGTAATCCCAGGGGCTCGGGAGGTTGAAGCAGGAGGATCTCAAGTTCAAATAGAATCTCAACAACTTATGGAAACCCTAAGCAACTTAGTGAGACCCTGTCTCAAAAAAAAAAAAAAAAAAAAAGGATGTGGCTTAGAGATTAGGTGCCCCTGGGTTCAATCCCTGGTACCTCCCTAAAAGAAAAGAAAAGAAAAGAAAAAAATGTGGTATGGGAGCACAGCACACATGTAAGAGCTGATTCAGCACATATGGGTTCATTTTAGACTCCAATGCTTACTGTGTGACTTCCCTAAATCTTGTTTTCTCCTCTGTGAAACTAGGAGAATATCGCAGCTTATCTTCTGGACTGATATAAGAATCAAATCACTAATGCAAAGCAAGAATCCTGCAAATAAGAACCCAATATAAAACTTGAGTTACTCATATCAGTAGTAGTATTAGCTCGCTTCCATTGAAAGAATTTGATTAAATGTATTTAGTTTCCATATGTTATATGACCAACTACAATTATTTATTAACCACCATGTAAAACAGGTGCACTAAAGGGAAAAAGTAAGGCCAGTGTATCAATAACAGGAATCATAATCTCATTCCTTATTGTTTCTTTTTTAAAATCAGCTTGACCT